TTTTTTTCTTTTGCAACGTGTAACTTGCGCGTGTATGTCGACAAAAGAAAGAATGGATGAATTTATATAGTGTAATGGCGTCGTTCGATACAGAAAGAAAAAAAAACTGCCACTACCAACATTAACTCGACACGTAATACTATCATCATCTTTTTTTTTTCAACCTTTCTATCCCCCCCCCTTCTCGTTCTTTCTTTCTTTTACTTGTTCTCTTTTCTCGAATCTTAACGACTATAACAAATGATGACGACACGAAACGTCATTATGTTATCCATTTACCAAGTGCAAAACAACAACAACATCAACAAAAAATATAGACAGAAAAGAACATATACATGCACTTATAACTAAAGAAAAGAAAAAGAAAAAGGGTTTCAAGGTATACCAATATATTTAATGACTCATAGTTGAAGGCTTTTTTTTCTCTCTCTCTCCCTGATTTTGTTTATGTACGTTCTTATCGGACATTACGTACACATTTGTCAAAGTTAAAAAAACAGTAATTTCATCATCCATATTTTTTTGTTATTTGTTTTTCTCTAGGTTGGGATATACGTCATTTAGAACATAACGTTATTTATTGGGATATTGTTGTTGTCACTACATTGGACATTGTTCAAAAAGATGCTTATGATGCTTTAATACAACAACGTTCAACAATTAATCGTATACCACTTGGTGTCGACTATCTCGTCATTACTGATCCTGGCAAGATTGGTAAGAGATATTATGTCATCTTGATTGTGATTGTGCTTCTTCAAAGAAGAAGACACTCACACACATAAGCATGTTAAGTAACTCGGCATAGTACGATGATATAATAGAGACATATACACACATGCGCTTCGATCATTTTCAATGGATTTGAAAGAAACAAATTCATCTTGTTCCCAATGCATCATCTCGTTCTTTCTTTTCTTCTTCTTCTTCTTCTTCTTCTTCTTTACATAATCAAAAGAAGGGAAATGTTGTAACAACACATAAAAGTGACTATAGTATGGCGATTATTAGCATTTGACTAGTGATAGCTTGATTTAGACATAGTACATTTTATGTAACTATTCTCAACTAACATCTTCCTTACAATAGACATCAGATTCGAAAGTAACTTACATGAGCGATCCATCGTTCTTGATTATGTAATTTGTAAGGAATCATAATCATGTTACGAAATAGAATGAATGTATAAAAAAAAAAGAAAGAGTCAAACACTTGCTACTGCTAAATGGACGCGTCGACGTGGTTTACGTAATTGACTGAGGTTATGTAAAAAAAAAAATGAGGAAAAGAGAAGTGACGTTGTCATCAAGGACAAGGTCATCGATTCAAGATAATATTTCTTCTACTCTTTAGGCAATGGCGGAAGTACAATGCATGCAATGCATGTACTTGAACAGCAATATGGTTGGGAAATTTTACGACAAAAACGTATTTTACTCATTCATGCTGGTGGTTATTCACAAAGAACACCAACAACAAGTTGTCTTGGAAAAATTTCTACTAGTATTCCGAAAGGTGCGATAGAAAAAAACTTAAAGAGAAGAATATCGAAAGGATACATATAAGAATCAAACAAAAGAAAATAGTTCACGCATGATTAAGTGCGAGCGAACTAAACTAACTTGTGATGATATTAATAGAACAAATAGATGAGGTAAAAGGGTAGATATCAAGGATTTATATAATCAAACTCTTTTACCCCAATTGTTTGTTGTTGAAAAAAAAACAGGATTCATATTTGATTTTATTATTCAGGATGGCCAACATATGATTTACTTGATATTAAATTAGCTCTTTATTCATTATTTCCTGCTCGTATGCCTCATGGAGGTGTTCTTCTCTGTTCATCCGATACAATTGAATTATTTGATGAATCTCATACACATACTGATTGGCAATTAACAGATGATTTTGTTGCATTTGCACATCCATCATCACTTTCAGTTGGTACACAACATGGTGTTTATGTACTTGATCCAACTGATAAACGAAAATGTATTTGTGTTTTACAAAAACCAACAATCGAACAAATGAAAACACATAAAGCCATATGGTGTCATGGTGAAGAAGAATTTGTTTATACTGATAGTTTATATTATTTTAATATGAATGTTGCTCAACGTTTAGCTGAAGTTTATCGTCAAGAACATAATATTCAATGTGAAATTGATTGTTATGGTGATTTTATGAGTCCATTAGGTATATGTCCATTACCTCGACCTATCGACAAAGAGAATGATCATAATCATCAACAACAACATATACGATTAAAACAAAAAGTTTATGATGCTTTACTTGGATGTCATTTACAAGTTATCATATTACATAAATCATCATTTAATCATACAGGTACAAATGATGAATATCTTGATATATGTTGTGGAAATGGTAAAACGGGTCATGAAATATTTGATGCTTTACAATTAGAAAAACATATTGGTTGTAAAGTATTTGATGAAGGTAGACATGATGCAGTCGATTTTTGGCATGGGTAAGAATCTTAAATTTTTTTCTATACATTTTAAATTCTAAACAAATAATCAATCATATTAACAATTTATAATAAAAAATCTTTCCTATTTAGTATTCTTCCAGCATTACCTCATGGTGATACATTACATCATCAACCATCTGCTCCTGATGTTCATGGTTGTATTATACATAGTTTTATTCATCCAAAATGTCGATCATCAAAACGTTCATTACTTGAATATTGTTGTATTGGTATACCAATACAAACAGGTGAAAATACCATATTAAGTAATATAACATTATTAACATATTCAGATTTACATGAAAATATTCTTCAAATTCCATCAAATATAATTATACAAACAATACCATTAAATGATGAACGTTATGCAACATTTGCATTTGGTTTTCATGATAATATGAAAGCAACATATAATAATGATGAAAAATTAATGTATTTCGGTCAAACACTTTCGACAATAGCTACAAAACTTCATTGTCATATAGATGATTTATTTGATAATGAAAATGAGAAATCTTTATGGACATTAAAAATTTTTCCTGTTACAAAAAATCCGAATGAATCATTTGAGAAAACTTTAAAAATAATTTTATTGAATGATTTTATTAAATCAAAACAAGAGTATGTATCAATTAAAGAAATTCTTAAACAACGGAATATATCAGCAATAATTCATTATCGATCAAATTTAATTAATTGTACATAAATAATGAACAATTTTCAATCTAATCTCGCATTCCGTCCATATATATTGAAATGATGACGGTTTTCTTTTTCCTTCTTTTTTTTGCTCAAATGGAAACGCTTTTTGTCACTAGATGATCTATATTAAAATAAATAAACTCAATTTAATATATATATATGTCTTGATTTAATTTTAGTGCAGAATAGTTTTATAAGGTTCATTTTTTGATATTGCAAGAATTTTATGCGACAACAAAGAAAATAAAAATTTTCTGTTTTGATTGTTTTAACAAGAAACATCACTCTATGCAATTAATAATTCATAAGATAACGACGGCAAAACAAACAACACATTATATGTAATCTATCGTTGCCTAAGAAAAACAAAGAAAAGAGTGATGTCTATTAAAATATAGTGTGAACCATTGATGATACGTCTCATCGCGCGTTCAATGTGTTAAAGAATAAAAGTATATACATTACGACTTTATAATAACAGTTTTGATCGAAAATTGTCTAAGAACTATAATGAAGACTAAATCATAGATCTTAGAAAATAGCTTACACTTCTAGTAAACATTTTTATTACGCGAAGTAAAAGATAGCCACTCTGGAATCTATTCTGTCAGTTGAAGAATGTGTTTAAAGTATTATTCAAGACTAAATTATAGTTTCCAGATGATAAATCATGTTTCATGCATATGTATTTTCTCCTATATTGCTAGATATTAAAAATGTAACGTTGTTTGAACATAACATAATTTTATTTTTGTTTTGACTCTTGCTCTTCGTCTTAATTTTTTTTTCTTTTCACATTCTATATCATCTTCGAGTGTATAAAAAAAACGAAAGAGACATTAAACGTGCAAGGATTATGATAAATAAGAAAAGAAAACGAACATAAACAAGAGAAGAATGTTGAATTATTCAAAACATAATGCTTAATCATAATCACCTAAAAATATCAAAGAATGGTTTTATTTTTTGTTTTTAATTTAAATCAAATTAAATCTTACTGTAATCAATTTTTTCAGCATCTTCATCAACATTTAAATTTTGAAGATCAACTTTATATCGAAGAATACCTCCAACACCACCAAATCCACGAACAAACTGGGAACCTTCTTGACTTTTATCAGTAACAATTTCCAGTGTGGCACCTTTAATTACCAACAAAAAACAAATATTAGAAAAACAAAAATTGTATATTGAAGTTTTTTTCTTACCGAAATTTTTATAATTATTTGCATACCATTCTAATAAAGGCATTTCTTCAACATGTTCTAATTCAACTCCTGATTCTTTATCTTGAAAATGTGATTTCTCTTTTTCTTGATCAGCACGTAAATATAAAACTTTTGTTTCTTGTGTCTGTGGATTTCGTAAAACATAGCGCATAACATCGAAATTTTCCCAAACAATTAATGTTTCAACAGCACCCATTTCAAGGGCTTTCAGTGTTTCATCAATACCAAAACAATATTGTCCAGAATCTTTTGATACTTCATCAAAATATCGAGAAATTAATTTTTTTTCTTGAATAAATTTCACATCACCAAGTGTTTCAGCTGCTAATTCAATAGCTTGATTAAAACCATTTTCACCGCCATAAGATATATCAACTCGTTTAAGTACTTTAACTTGTAGACGTTGATCAAACATATCTGATTGATGAAGTTCAGTTTTAAAATCAGCTAAACCAGCAAGAATTAATCCTGATACATTGACTTTATCATCTGTTATAAAGCATTGTACAGCTGTTTCAGCAACTTTTCGAACATAGTTATGACGTTTTTCCATACGAAGTCGAGCAAATCGAAGTGCACTTTGACCACCACGACCATGTTTTTTCGGTAAATCAACTGAAAATTTTGTTATAACTTCTCGTGAATTGCCTTGTAAGGTACCGAATAATGCACCATTACCATCCATAATAATAAAACCAAACCGAGAATCATCAGCTAATAATGCTTGTAATGCCTTTTCGAAAAGAAAACAGATATATAATAATAATTCTATAATTTTTCCAGAGAAAAAAGAATCCGAGAGAATTTCTCTATGGAAAAGAAGATTTTTGATTGATTTATAGATGAAGAATAGAAATTACAAACGAGAATTATAATAGAATCTTTCAACTATAATATTTTTTAATAAGAAAGACAGACAATAATTTGATATAACTAATAAAAAGTAGATATACATTCAAATTTAAATTGACTCTACAGCAAAAATCTGTTTTCGATGTTTTTTTGACCCCGCGAACATACAATCAATCAGACAATTTATATTTACTGAACTCTTTTCTACACTTAGACAAATTTATATCATTGTTTGAAAACATACTTCAGTATGAAATTTATTGTCACATAGGTAAAGTGAAGTATTGATTGGTTTAAAAGGTTCGAAGTCAATGTTAACTTTTTTTTCTTTACCATCATCTGTTACTATTGTACCACAATAGATAACAAGTCCATTGTTTGGTACTATAAATAAGAGAATATTTCATCATGTCATTCAATACTAATAATAATGAACCTTTATTATAAAGTTTAAGTCGAGCTTGTACTGAAGTAATGGCAGAAAGGACAGATAATCGATTAACACGTGATTTGATATTGGATGCTGTACCGTATTCATCTGCGAGCATTTTAGCTATACGTGGTATTTGATCACGAGGTGGAATAATTAATGATATCATACTTGTGCCATTGCCTCTAGCTGCTTCTAAACTTTTAATTAATTTTTTAATTTTCCATATTTCGACATTTTTGTCTGATGATTCTTGTGGCTGTTCGGCCATACAGTCGATGTTATTAACACCGGGATCTTAAACAGACGCACTATAAACAAAAAATATATAATATTAGTAATTTGATTCAGTATGATTATATATATAATAAAATAGAAGAGTTGATTATTTCAACAACTAGAAATATTTTTTGTAATTTAGAAATAACATGAAAGAAAAAAAAAGCATGACACAAGGCTCGTGGCGCAAGTTTATCAATCGATGATTAAGATACCAGTATTGAGTAGTTGAAAAAGACTTTTTGAAATTTATATATTTGAAATAAAAATTTTAAATTTATAATTTAAGTAAAATTCTTTATGTTGAAATAAATATTTTTACATAAAAATTTAATTTAAAAGATTGAAAACTATTGACAGATGGAGTTAGTTTATGGACATGTGTATATAATTTAAATCAAATATATGTGAATGGTACTTTTTATTACTTTAACTGGTCATCTATTTCAATCAATTTTATTATAGATAATATATTGAATATTTATTACGAAAGTTGTTTATTTTCACAAGTTTTTTCTTTTATTTTATAATAGTATTCTGATACTAAAAATAATTCTTTTTATTTGAAAACAAAAATATATTTTTAATCTGATTTGGTCCATCCAACAAATGTTCCATCATCGGATCGTTGTATAGTTCGTACTTCAACAATAGCTTGACGATCGATAGGACCATAGATATGTGGAAAAGGTAAACGAAATACAGATGATTCTTCCCATTTAATTGGTGATGGTGGATTTTTTAATTTTGTCATATCAATAACAAGTAAAAGATAATCACCAGGAACATTTCGATAATATTGATTAGCTACTTTAATCATAAGTTCATCACCTGATGTACAGTGAATAAAACCTTCTCTGTCATATTCAGCAGGTAAATAGGGTAATTCATCTGGCCATGAATACCAACGTGAAGCAGGTGCAAGATGATAGATAAGACTCATAGTAATGCGTATATGTTTAGTTAGTTTCTTTCTCTTTCTTTATGTTTAGTCCACGTATCCATTAGAAAAGAACGAAGAATGATCCAATAAAAGTATAAATGAAAATGAGTCGCCAGTTCTAAGATATATATGTCGAAGTCAAGTTAGAAACTTATTCTAATAGTATGTAATTTTGCCTTTAAATATTTTATTAATGAATAAAGCTCGAACTATTCAAACGACTATTTTATAATTTATTGAGCACAATTAAAGTCTCAATTATTCACTAGAAAAAATAGACAACATTAATAAATGATCCATATTTATTTGTACATAGTTTCTTGCTATTTCATATTTCAAATGTGAACATTTACGTACAACATAAGATACTCATTTTATTTGTTGCATCTTATTTTTTTGATTTAATAACGGATTCTAAAAAAATTTTAGTCTATTGACGATATTTGAGCGTCAGATTGTCATAACACTCTTATATGAATTTCTCGACTTTTGATAAATTTCATCCTTTAAGCTAGGATTCACTATTCGAAAGCTGTACTTCTCATTAGAAAAATTTCTTCATAAACTTAAACAGAATGAATCTTCCCATATTAACTCCTGTAAACATTTAAACAATATATCCTGTATTGACTTTATAAGAGGTTGTTGATAGTGTTATGGATTACTTTAATTATAGCTTGATTTTTTGGTATAGCGATTTTTTAGGGCTAGCCCATCGTTTGTGATATATTTGAGGGATACGGAAACTCATTTTTTATCGTTTGATTGTGTTTCTGAGAACTCCGTACCAGATGTTGTGGACCAACAATAATAGAGTCTGATGGCAACGGCTGTCGTGAATATAGTTTCCGATCTGAATTCGTATAGTTGTTATTTATAGTAACTTTACATGACTAGAATTCCTATCGGACCTCATACGATTTTACGTTTGGAACAAATCACCTGAGTAGTATAAAATTATCACCGTTATAACTCTCAATATTTTCTCTTGTTGTTGGTATACTTTACTTTTCTCTCTTCTTTGTTCATCACCTATATATATTATATATAGACATACATCTGCGCCTCGTAACACGATTCGGTGTGTACATTTTTATATATGTATACAAAAAACCTATACGATCGTTTCACGAGCTGACAGCATGTAAGCCATAGAAAAAAGTGAAGTGTAAGGACAAAGCAGATGTCGCGCTTTGTACCTCTACCGAGAAGTTTCTTTTTATAACATACCAAAACATAAACACAATGGCTGAAAATGGTTCATCAACACGTGAATTAAATAAACGACATCGAAGTACTAGTAAAGAAAGGGAACATCGTCATCATCGATCACATCGTGATGGAAATGAAAAAAAGCATCGACATTCATCACCTAAAAGATCATCAAAATCACCTGAACCAAAACGTCGACAACCTGATGAAATTACTAAAGTTAAAAGATCCAATCATGATGATAAAGAAGATGAAAAAACTGTAGGCAATGGAACAACAACAAATAATGATGAAATTAATAATAGAAATATTAAAACAAAGCAAGTTCCACTTTCATTGGAAGAAATGGTTGAAAGAAATAAAAAAGAACAAGAAGCAATTTCAAAGCCGAAATTTTTAACAAAACAAGAACGTGAAGCTGAAGCATTACGACGTAGACAAGAAGAAGCTGATTCTATTCGTAAACGCAATGATGAATTACGTAAGAAACATGCTGAATTTAGTAAAGAAGGTGAACAAGCAGCAATTAAAGATGATCGAGAACGTGAACGACGTGAACGTGAACGCAATCGTCATCGAAATGATAAAGAAGAAGAAAAAGAACAACCAAATGCCGATGGAGAACGTGAAGAAGCAGCTGTTAAAGAACGATATCTTGGCATTACTAAGAAAAAACGTAAAATTCGTCGTTTAAATGATAAAAAATTCGTATTTGATTGGGATGCTGGTGAAGATACTGCTGTTGATTATAATCCAATTTATAAAGAAAAACATGAAATACAATTTTTTGGTCGTGGTCATATAGCCGGTATTGATATTAATAAACAAAAGAAAGATCAATCAAAATTTTATGAAGGTCTTCTTGAAGAACGTCGTACACCAGGAGAAAAAAATCGAGAAACAGCTCGTTTAAAATCTGATCAAGATAAAGATGAAAAACGTCGTCATGATGAACGTCATTGGTCTGATAAAACTTTAGAAGAAATGGCTGATCGTGATTGGCGTATATTTAAAGAAGATTATTGTATAACAACAAGAGGTGGAAATATTCCACATCCATTAAGATCATGGGAAGAAGGTAATCTTGAAAAAGGTATTCTCGATGTTATTAAACTTGCTGGCTATAAAGAACCATCACCCATTCAACGGCAAGCAATTCCAATTGGTTTACAAAATCGTGATGTTATAGGTATTGCCGAAACTGGTTCTGGTAAAACAGCAGCATTTCTTATTCCTTTACTTGCTTGGATTCGATCATTACCAAAAGTTGAAAGATCGATTGATGCTGATAATGGACCATATGCACTTATATTAGCACCAGCTCGTGAATTAGCACAACAAATTGAAGAAGAAGCAGTTAAATTTGGTAAACCATTAGATATTAGTGTTGTTTCACTTATTGGTGGTTTATCTCGTGAAGAACAAGGTTTTAAACTTCGTCTTGGTTGTCATATTGTTATAGGTACACCTGGTCGTCTTTTAGATGTACTTGAAAATCGTTATTTAACATTACAACAATGTAGTTATGTTATTATGGATGAAGCTGATCGAATGATAGATATGGGTTTTGAAGGTGATGTTAAAAAGATTCTTGAATATTTACCTGTTACAAATCAAAAACCTGATAATGAACTTGCTGAAATTTCAAAAAATTTTTATTCAAAAGATAAATATCGTCAAACAGTCATGTTTACAGCTACAATGACACCAGCTATTGAACGTTTAGCTCGAACATATCTTCGTCGTCCAGCATCGGTTTATATTGGTGCAGTTGGTAAACCAACTCAACGTGTAGAACAAGTTGTTATTATGTGTTCAGAAAATGAAAAACGTAATAAATTAATTCAAATTCTTGAACGTGGTATTGAACCACCAATTATGATATTCGTTAATCAAAAGAAAGCTGTCGATGTTTTGGCTAGAGGTTTAACTAAAAAAGGTTATAATCCATGTTCATTACATGGTGGTAAAGGTCAAGAAAGTCGTGAATTAGCTTTAGCACAATTAAAACAAGGTCAAAAAGATATTCTTGTTGCAACAGATGTTGCTGGTCGTGGTCTTGATATTAAAGATGTTTCACTTGTAATAAATTATGATATGGCCAAGACAATTCAAGATTATACACATCGTATTGGTCGAACAGGTCGTCAAGGAAAAGCAGGCAAAGCAATAACATTCTTAACCAAAGAAGATGCAGCTGTATTTTATGAATTAAAAGAAGTTATACTTGAATCTCCTGTATCACAATGTCCACAAGAATTACTTAATCATCCTGATGCACAACATAAACCTGGAACTGTAGTTACTAAACGTAACAAAACTGCTATTCTTTGTACTTAGATCAATAGATTTGATCTATTATTTTTTTGTCCTGTATTTATGTATTCTGTTTTTTTTTCGTTTCATTATCGTTCATTGTTAATAACAACATAATTCATGAATAAAATAATGACGTATGATGTTTCTTTTTCTTTCAACTAATTTACTGATAAATATTTTGGAAGACAGAATTCTGTTTCTCATTTTTATATGATTGATAGTTCAATACAGAATCAAATTTTGATATAGTATCATTCTAAATATTTAACATCGTTACAATTTGGATTAATGTATGATACATTAACAGAATCTTAAATTTCTCGAATTCAGAAATCTAATGTTACAATCAGCTGTACAACAATCATAATTACGACTACCATTGATATTATAGAGAAATTGTCTTACTTTGTACTACATTCATCAAATAACTTAAGTTGCTATTACGGACGTAGTTGTACGGAAGATTTAGTCTTGTAATCATCTATGCTCAATAGTAATAGTAAATTCACAAGTGATGATATCCTCGTTAGACATGTTATCTATTTATATGACAAACAAAAGTATTATTTAATTTCTTTTACCGATGACAATACAAAAGATATATATGAATATAAATAAGTTTCATTGAAATATTATTTAATAAGATTGAATTATCTTAGAATATAATACAATCTATCTTCATCCTTTTCAGACCGATCAAAATCTATTTTCTTTCTCTAAACAACAGTACTAAGAGTAAAGAGTCTAAAAGATTATTTAATTATTATGAATAATTTTATCAATGATACAAATACATCAGTTACATTATGGGACAACTTGACATTTTCTTAATATGTAGAATATTTTCTTTAGGAATAAACGTTAACTATTAAATTTAAAGCTAATTTCTTATGCAAACAAATAATTAGAAAATATATTATCAAGAACGAAAAATATCGGATCTCATAATCCGATTTTTCTCTCATGATTAGTTTCAAGTATTTATCAATAAACAACAAGCTATTTTTATATTGCATGGCAAACTAGTATATGCTTCATACTATATTTAGCTTTATAAACTTAAAGTGTATTTCTAATCTGACAGATTCCAAGTAATTATGATTGAATGTTTCTTCCAAAGAATTTGTAAAACGATTTCATTTAAATCCACTTTTCATTTTTGGAATAAAAACTATGCTTCATCACTTAATAATTATTGACGAGTGATTCTATTTTTACTCTATCATCTATTTGATGATCTTCGCCTCTTAAAATAGCAGTTATTGCATGTAAGATAATTACTGTATTTATTTATAGAACTGTATGCCAAAAAAAACATTCCGTCTCGAAGGGTTCACAACTAGCCTAGTGCTAAATTCTATCTTTAGTTGATTCTAATTAATACACAAAAATAGGTTTTACTATTAAATATTTAAGATTATCTGTCTAACAACAATTATACTTTTATCTATTGCAAAAAATCGATATGTTTTCTTCGAAAGATATTTTTATTTGGAATGAGAGTCGGTAGTTCAATAAAATACGCCTATAATTTCTTCTATGATTAATTGTATCAATGCTCAAAACGTGAGTCTTTTCTTAGCCTGAATATTTTTGTATAATTAAATTAAGCTAATACTTTCCTATACTTGAATTTCGATATTACAAACATCGATACGAAACGTCTTTTATATTCATGGATTTCTTCTTCTTTTTTTTTGGGGTTATTTCTTTTTTAATCGTATCGATAATGTGCGTTAATAGAATATTGACCGAAAATGCTGATGTACTTGAATATGTAGAATGCGAAAATAATCAAATATAGTTATTTAGTATCGGAAACGCAGAAAAAAAAAGAAAAGATAAAATAGATCGCATAGCCGTTCATAGTAGATCTCGATCATAAAAAAAGGAACGAGCAATCGATAGCTAGATAAGAATAATAGAACTATACACAATCAGTTGTTATATAGAGGGTGTTCCAAAGTCATAATCATTTAAAAAATTCATTCGTCAAATAATATCAATAATTGCTCTATAGAACAAAATCGTAAGTTGTTGTTTTTTATCAATTTTATAAATACTGTCTTTGACATCGATACTAAAATTTCGATTTTCAAAAAAAAATGTTCTTATTTATTGTATTCTTCAATAAAAAGAACTCCGGAAAACGAGAAGCTATAATAATGATCCATTTGTTAGTGATGATGTCTTTAAGTCTACTATAAATTTTCTTTGAAGAATTGTGCGGATGCTAAATCTGTCTGCAAAAAAAAGATTACTATCTACTCTTTCAAAGATAATCCATAGTTGACTTAATGAGGGACAGATCAATTATATTCTGTGCAATCATTTCAAATCTAGATGTCAAAGGGCAGTATTTATAAACTTAATCAATATGGAAAAAAATTGTTTGATGAATTAAAGAGATAAATGAATTTGTCAAGTGATGATGACTTTATTTCGATATTTTTGTTTTTTATTCTATTATCTAGGATTGATATTTTGAATAATAATGGAACCAAATATAACATTTTCTGATCAAACACATAAAATTATTATTCCATCCCCTCGACCAACTGGTGATCGTACTGGTCTATATATTCTCTTATTATTATTAAGTCTTCTATTTATACTTATTTTTTATTTAATTTATAATTTTATAGCATATAAACGTTATTCTTATTCTCAAAAGAAGAAACTTGAAATAGAAAAACAATTCAATGATCGTTTATTAGCTGTTCTTAGTCAGTGTAATGAACAACAACAACAACAACAACAACAACAACAGCAACAACAATCAATGAAACGTTCACATTCATATGAACAATCAATAATTTCGTCAAATGATGCTCCATTATTAATTACAACTTCATTAAATAATCAAGAAAATTTTAAATCAATAAATAAATCTGTTTCAAATCAATATCATATTACAAATCAACTTGTTTCTGATCTTTAAGAGAGAAAACAATATATATCTATATATATATATAATTTTTCTTTTTTTTGTGTTTCTTTTTTATGTTTATGAAAAGATGAAAATAGATAAAATTTTTTCTTTTATGGTATTTTTTCTGGTACAGAAGAAAATTTAACGTTCATTTGTGATATCATTCCTCTCGTTGAACGGCTAGTATTATTAGTTGGTGATAATTGATCAAGTTTACCATCAACAGTTTTTAATAATATAAATATATTTTCCATAGTTTGTCCCATATCAACAATTGTATTTTCAACACGTTGCATTCGTGCAAGAACAGTTGATTTTGCACGATCGTCAGTTGTTCCTGTAATTTGTTTACCAATAGTATGTTCAATTCTAAATTAAAGAAATCAATATATATGTAAAAGAATAACTAAAAATAGATAATTCTTTACTTTCGTTGTAATTCTTTTATTCTCATCATCATATTAATATGTCCATGAGAATATTGTTCAAGCACATCACGTACATCATATGGTTTTCTTGCTAACTATAAAAAAAGAATAATCAATTGCAAAATTGTTTTTTTTGCTTTTTTGTTTTACTTGAAATCGATTACGAGCAACAATTAATTGCATTTTTCGTACACATCGTATCATTCTTTTATGATCTTCAGTTAGACTAGAAGAAACAAAAAAAAGCGATAATTGTAATAATTAGTTACGAAAATTGAATATATAACGGAAATAGAACATCACCCGCGTCTTCGATTTCCTTTATATATATGTATGTGACATGATTCTTCGATCATAGAGTTCATTGTATTAATATAAAAGCAGATATGTCGAATTATCTCATATAAACTTATTTCGTTAAACTCAAAGAATAGATTCATGAACTAAGATACTTCGAATGTCAATCAAATTATCACCTGGGATAAAAATGATGTTAGCTCTTTTCTTTTTTTTAGTAATATAATATTTTTCTATCAGTTTATCATTAAATAGATAGAGTTTGTTTTCAGTGCGTGATAAGAAAATTTTACAATAGTTTATATTCTTCGTCGTCGAGAGAAATCTCTTTAGCATAATAATGAAAATTATTTAAACATTTTTCTTTTTCTCTTATTATTACATGCAAACATAATTATATTCCGACAAACTAATTCAATGAATTATTTTATCTAATCAGGATATAATGAGAAAGAAAGGTAAGACAAACGATTTTGTTTTGTTTTGTTTTCAATTACTTACGAACAAAGTTTAATTGGCTCTTCTTCAAAATCTTCATCATCATGATCATTACTAGACAATAAATAACAACCTTTAATAGATCAAAAATTTCTTCTGGAAATTTCGATAAATTTACTTTTCTAAACCTGTTGTATTCAATGTTGATGATGTTGAACCACGTGTATCATTTAGTTCAGGTGATTGTAATAAATGAGGTGAAGGAGGAACTTGACTATTTCTTTTTGCACGATTTTTTCGATGACTAGTTGATAAACGTAAATATCGAAGTTTTTCAGCGGTTTTTTCTATAAAATAAAAGTTTTTCGAAGAAAAAAAAAATAAAAATTTATACCACTAAATGTTTGATTATTTGGTGAGAATGTTTTATTATTTGATGGTACTGTATTTTGTTCAGTAACACGTAAATACATATTCCATGTGGCAACACATGTTGAACCGGGTGCACTTGCATAGACACGCCATGCAGCTTGAATTAATGTTGCTGCTGCTGGAATTTGACGAGAAAAATGTTTTTGACGTTGTTTTTGTTGAACTTTCAATGCAAAACCAGAACCAAGTATACCCTTAATTAATATTTCGAAATAAAATTTCCAATTAATATAATATAAATACTTACGGCAGGTAATGCAAAGAATGATATAGCAAAAATAGCAAAACACGCAGCGATAATCTTTCCAAGCCTTAAATATTTCAAAATAAATAGATAAGTTTTCAAGTATAACTATTGTCTACAGACCAGGTTACTGGGTACACATCGCCATAACTAAAGTATTCAAAAATGAAAATTATATATTAATTATTAAAATATTCATTACCCAATTGTAGTTATTGTTATGACACCCCACCTATAGAACGAAAAAGAAACCATATTTCTAATTTTTTAAATATATATTACTTTAACATACCATAATGCATCAGCATATGATTCAAAATGACTACTATCATTACCTTTTCCACCGCGTAATTCTCCCGGACCTATTTCACCTTTTTCAGCGATGTAAACAAGATAACTACAGAAAATTAACGCAAGAAATCCGATATATAATGTTGTAATTAATTCCTAGAAGAAAATTATAAAAAATTCTATAAAAAGATATCCGATCATTTTATTAATATTTATTTTCTTTTATACTTGTCGATGAATATAAACGACACTTCCTAATAAACGCCATGTACCACCATGTCGATCAACATGTAATACACGTAGAATTTGTAAAAATCTTACACCACGTATAGCTGATGCAGCAAATGCTTGACGATCGGATGCTAAAGTAATCATTAATGTTGAAGCAATAACAACAATTAAATCTATTTTCAAGATAAGATAAGATAAATAGAGATTCTAAAAATTTGTTTTTCTCATCATTCATTACCGACAATAGCAATGGGTTTTCGAGCAAATCGAAAACGTCCAGATATGCCCATATATTTGCTTCGACATCCTGCTGACCAAAGTCTTGCAAAATATTCTATACCAAAGAATAGAATAAGAAAAATTTCAAGCCAATAAACATATAATTCTAAACGTGCAGTAAATTTGTCAATAGTTGTTAACACGGATAAAACAAGACAAACAATCACCGCTACAAATCTAAATTGAACAAAATACATTCATATATTGAATTATAATCATATACTTTTTAATCTTTTAAGAACTTAAGAAGAAGAAATGCACTGAACCATTTATATAATTTGATCTTAAAAAAGAAATCGCTTACAAGGTAAAATCTTATTAGGGTTAAAAAGACAAGTAGAATTTTTTTCTTTCATTAGAGAAATTTGAATTTTTTCTTTTTAGCAAAAAAATGTAATTAAGGAAATGATTTTCTTATAATCTCGAGAACATTATTATACATACACGGTAAAATGATAGACGAAACATTTGACACCAGCTGGTCGTTCAAGAAAATTATATAATAAAATTTGAAAATTGGAGTGAGTTGAACGCGAATTATTTTTTGATGAAAATGGCATGTGTAAATATGTTAATGAATAATAAGATGGAAATGATGGATAACTTAAACGTGTTCCTTCTCTTGATGAACGATAAAGAAACGAAAGACCCACATCAGGATCTGGTTTTAATGATCGAGATATCTCGTTGATAGTCTGTCGTGATAGATGGCGATGAGGAAAATGCATCGAAAAAAGAAAAAAAAAGAGAAAACTTCAAGGCAAAGGAAAAAAAAGAAAAAGAAAAGGAAAAGGAAAAATACTATACGCTCTCTTCGTTGTTGCGTTTTTTATTATAAATAACGATAATAACACTAAAATCATAGCATTAACGTACAAAAAAAAATAGTATTTAATATTAAATTAGAACAATAATCGTATACGTCAAACTAATTAGATTGACAGATGTTTTTCCATGTATCTAAAATAGATGTGGTTATATCATTAAATGTGGAAAACCATCGAATGTAAAAATTATAAACTATATCAAAAAAAGAATAAGTATATCTTATGTTTCTGACACGGTAGCATCAAATAACAACATATTTTCTACTGGGGACAGACAACTTATTAATTCTTTTTTCTTCTAAAGAAATATCATGATTTCAACATTTAATTCGTAATTTTTCTGTCATATTTTATATTATATGAGTACAAAATATTCATCAAATTTCATTGTCATTTACTGACATATACTCATTAAAAGTTCTAGCATAAATATTGCAATGACGTAAGACATATTTTACATATTGATCTATATTCATTTGATTAAACGAGAAAGTCGACAGACGAATTGTCCATGTAATAAAAAATCTAATAAAATGAACAACATTAATAAAAATAAAAAGTGACATGTTTTTTTCCCTTCTTCTTCTTCTTCTTAATGTGATCATTCTGCATCAAAACATAGACATTATGATTGATCATTCACACGTATTTTTTTGAGATATTTTCTCAAGTAAAATATATTTAAAAAAAAAATTTTCTCTTCATAGAATGATTTTTAATCATCAATGACTTTAATTTCCTGCAAAACAAGTGCTCATTTAATGCTTCAATAATTCACATAGATTTAAAACTATGAATATATATGTTACTTTTATTTTGAAATATTTATAATTATCAATTATTTATATTTCTCATTAATACTATAGACTCATAAAACAAAAAATACAATTGTTTTTTTCCGGCATTTTCTATTCTACTTACGTTATTTTCCGTAATGATCAGAAAAAAAATATTCATACGATTATTGTCTAAGGCAGCATATTTATTTTTATTATAAATAAAACTTCTTTTTTTTTTCTTCTCCTGACTTCTTTTTTTTATTTTAAAACGAAAATTGAGCCGTTGAACCACGCACCATTCATCAAGGTGCTTTTTTAGCATGCATTATTTATTGCGTATTTCAGACTAATTGATTTTAACAAGAAGATGTTCAATTTATTCAATCAATAAAATGTATTTAGATTTCGTATATTTGTAATAAAAGAAAAAACGTAGAAGTATTTTTTAAAATACAATGTCTGATAGTATATATGATATTATATACTAATCTAACAATATTAAATTGCATTTATATATCTTTTGTCAATATTAAGTTCATATTCTTTTCTTTTTTTTTTTTTTTTGAAAAAATTTTCCATATAAATGAAGTTGACTCATGTGTTCTATAAAAAGATATAAATATACTTATATATCAAGTATAGATATGCTACTTATAAAAGCAAATTAAATAAGAGTCAAAATATACCTTGAAACTTCACTTTTATAATTTCTCTTATGATGAGTTTATAATGTCAAGAACACGTAAAAGACTGTATTTATGCA